AGGCACAACAAACAACAAGCTTCCCCTCAGGGCCCCTCAAGGCTGGGAAGGCCTGGCCAAAATACAAGCGGCTGCTAATTTTGGCGCGGCTGCCATTTTGAGAGCCACACAGAGCCCTCAGTCATAGAGGTTTCAGGCATCTCTGACAAGAACCAGGCTCTCTCTTCATCCTACTGTGACAGGCACTGATCGGGGCAAACCAAACTCCACTGAGCATTCCCTCAAGACCAAGGTAGAGGCCATGTCTCAAAAAAAGAAATACGCTTGTGGCTATTTGCCAGTGTATCTGAAGATGGGTTTCATAGAATCTGTTGTAAATAAACAACACCCAATGTATTTATGTGTCATAAAACATTATCCAATGAGGCAATGAAGCCAAGTCGATTGCGAGAACATCTTTCTACAAAGCATCCAAATGATAAGGACAAGCCCATTGAATATTTTCAGGAAATATATAAAAATTTCAAAATCGTTCAACAATCGTTGCATCATTTAAGAAACACTCTGCAGCGAACGAAGATGGATTAATTTGCGCTTATTGCATTTCACAATTAATTGCAAAAAGTGGTAAAAGCTATAATATTGGAGAAACAGTAATAATACCCTCTACAAAAGAATTTATTTCAACAGTAATGCATCAGGATATACCTGAAAATTTAAAAACGTTGCCCCTAAGCGATAGCACAGTAAAGCGACGAATTGATGAAATGGCAGTTAATGTTGAAAAAAACCTGATAAGTATTCTCCAAAATATTTCATTTTCTATGCAATTGGACGAGTCTACCACTGCAGATAATAATGCTTAATTGATGACATATGTATGTTATTTTGATGAAAACAATACATAACAAGAAGAAATGCTATTCGCAATAAATCTCATTACAGATACAAGAGGATTATCTATATTTAATACTGTGAAATCATACTTTACAAAAAATAATATTCCTTTGAATAATATTGTTGCACGTGCTACTGATGGAGCACCATCAATGGTAGGTTGTTATCGTGGATTTGTTGCTTATTTGAAGGAAGAAGTGCCAAATGTTTTATGTATTCATTGTGTGGTGCACAGACAACATCTTGTAGGAAAACATCTAAGTACAACTCTCCATTCATCATTAACTATAATAATTCGAGCCATAAACAAGATCAAATCCAAACCAAAAAATGATAGAATGTTTCGACAACTTTGCCAGGACAATAATGAAGATTTTATTACGTTACTTTTGCACACAGAAGTTCGGTGGCTGTCAAAGGGTACATCTTTAGCATTATATGATAGTGTCATACAATTTTTGGAAAGTAATAATGAGACCAATCTGTGTCAACAGTTAAAAACAGTAAAGAATGATGCCTTTTATTTGGCAGATATTTTCAAGAGGTTTCATGATGTCAATTTGCAGCTTCAAGGAGCTAATAAGACTCTTATAGGTTGCCAAAGTATTGTGTCATTATTTATTGACAAACTTGAACTACTTCGTTATAATCTATTGAAGAGAAAATTTCATCAGTTTCCTGAATTATCATCTATAAAAGATGATGTAACTCCAGAGGATATTGACAGAGTCAGTAGCCACCTCAACGAACTTAAATTGGACATGGAAAAACGATTTGAAGATATTTTGAAATTGAAGGTGTATGACTGGATGAAAAATCCTTTTACCGCAAATATTGAAAAGGCTGATATAACTTGCCAAGAAGAACTGTTAGAAATTAGATATGATGAAGAAAGTAAACATAAATTCGATAGTGGTGGATATGAAAACCTATGGCAAAGTAAAAAAATGCCTGCCTTATATCCAAATATGTGGAAAATGATATTCAGTTTATTGATACCTTTCCCCTGCCTCCTATCTTGTGGAATCAGGCTTTAGTGCTGTTAATCATATTATGACCAAAGAAAGAAACCGCCTGAATATTTCCGAAAGAGGAAACCTTCGTTTGTTCTTTACAAAAATTGTGCCAGATATCCAGTATTTAGTTTCGCAGCATCAGCCTCAGGGATCTCATTACTAATTTAATTAATTAAATGTAATTTCATCAGAGTTCCTGTTTCTATAGTGGGGCAAAAAGGTATTTAGTCAGCCACCAATTGTGCAAGTTCTCCCACTTAAAAAGATGAGAGAGGCCTGTAATTGTCATCATAGGTAGACCTCAACTATGAGAGACAAAATGAGAAAACAAATCCAGACAATCACATTGTTTGATTTGGAAAGAATTTATTTGCAAATTATGGTGGAAAATAAGTATGTGGTCACCTACAAACAAGCAAGATTTCTGGCTCTCACAGACCTGTAACTTCTTCTTTAAGAGGCTCCTCTGTCCTCCACTCATTACCTGTATTAATGGCACCTGTTTGAACTTGTTATCAGTATAAAAGACACCTGTCCACAACCTCAAACAGTCACACTCCAAACTCCCCTATGGTGAAGACCAAAGAGCTGTCGAAGGACACCAGAAACAAAATTGTAGACCTGCATCAGGCTGGGAAGACTGAATCTGCAATAGGCAAGCAGCTTGGTGTGAAGAAATCAACTGTGGGAGCAATAATTAGAAAATGGAAGACATACAAGACCACTGATAATCTCCCTCGATCTGGGGCTTCACACAAGATCTCACAAGAACGGTGAGCAAAAATCCCAGAACCACACGGGGGGGCCTAGTGAATGACCTGCAAGAGAGCTGCGACCAACGTAACAAAGACAACCATCAGTAACACACTACGCCGCCAGGGACTCAGATCCTGCAGTGCCAGATGTGTTCCCCTGCTTAAGCCAGTACATGTCCAGGCCCATCTGAAATTTGCTAGAGAGCATTTGGATGATCCAGAAGAGGATTGGGAGAATGTCATATGGTCAGATGAAACCAAAGTAGAACTGTTTGGTAGAAACACAACTCGTCGTGTTTGGTAAGTAATTATTATTACTATTTTTTATTAATTTTTTTTTTAATTTTACAATAAAAACCCCCTTCCCCAATCCCTCCCAACCCACCCCAAAACCCTCCCCCGTTCTTCCCAGAGCTGAATACAGGCTTAACTAGATCTTAAAAGAAAAAAAGTTTTAAACCCAAATAAACCTTAAGCAAATATAATTACACACAATAAACAAATTGTAAAATACTTTAACTCCATTATATATAAGAAACAAAAAGAGGAAAAACAAAAAAGAAAATAAAAAGAAATTAAAAAAAATAAAAAATTAAAGAATAATAACAATTACACTTCTAAATAATATCTTAAACTTATATAAATTATTCAAAAGCTAGATAATATTTTCTTATATCATACTTATATTGTATAAAATTTATCCATCTTTTCCACACCGAAAGATACTTCTCTTGCGATTGATCTTTCAAGAAAGCCGAAATTTTTGCCATTTCCGCTAAGTAGGAAACTTTAAAAAACCATTCTTGCAAAGTAGGCAAAAATTCCTTCTTCCAATATTGCCCTATTAACAACCTAGCCGCAGTAATTAAATTTAACATTAAAATAATCTCTTTATCATCACAATCAGAAACAATACCCAACAAAAACAATTGTGGAGTAAATTTTATCCTTCTTTTAAAAATTCTTTGAATATTCCACCATATCTTAATCCAAAAAGCTTTAATACTTTTACATGACCACCAAATATGATAAGCAACCACATCTCCAACATTTAGGCTGCAGGTTTGGATACATACGAGACATTTTTTGTGGATCAAGGTGCCATCTATAAAACATTTTATAAAAGTTTTCCCGTAAGTTTTGGGCTTGCGTGAATTTAACATTCCTCACCCAAATAATCTCCCAAGTATCTAATAAAATTGGTTCATCAAAATTTTGTGCCCACTTAACCATACAATCTTTAACTAGCTCTGCTTCTGAGTCCAGTTCCACCAAGACACCATCAATTCTTTTAATATGGGTTTGACTTTGATCTCTAATTTGTTTTAACAAAGTCTCATCCTCTCTAAGCAAGCCCACCTTATAATCTATCTTCCACCTTTCCAATAATTGTCTATACTGAAACCATGAATAAATAATATTTTCTTGTACTAATTCATCCATAGATTTTAATTGCCAATTTTTACCATCCCACTTAAGTAATTGTGTATAAGAAGTAATATCCATCTTAACTCCTCTCCTTATTCCTTCTATTGCATGCCATGGAATAGCCCATAATGGAATTCTTGAATCACTTCTATAGTATTTCTTCCAAACCCAAAGTAAAGAAATTCTTAAGATATGAGATCTAAAGACCCTATCAACCTTTTTATTATAAATTAAATAGGCATGCCATCCAAAAAGTAAATCCCATCCCTCCAACCCTGTACTCAGCTCTGGGAAGTGGGGGAGGGAGAGGGGGGGTTCGGGTGGGTGGGCTTTGGGGTGTATACTGTAATTTTTATAAAACTTTTCAATAAAAAAAAAGAAAAGGTTTTATGTTCTCACAGTCTTTAGCGGAATTGTAGAAATTTCATTTCTCCATCTAATCCAGTTCTTTCTCTTGTCGTCTGCTGTCTCCTGGTTTTGCCACGCCCACCTTCCAGAAGCCCCAAAGGTGATTTTTCAAGAGGCAGCTGGACTTTCACAACAAAGTCCAGTTGCCTCTTGAAAAAGCACCTTTGGGACAACCGTGACCTGGATGACTGAAAACCTCCATGGACATCCATTATCCAGAACTTTTTTCCCTCATTATTGTTATTTAATGGGGAACCCCAAATATTCTCAGAGAGTCTACTTCTAAATAGTTTGGTGTGAGCTCTAACCATCTCCCAATCTTTATTCCAACAGGATCTGAATGGAAAAGTGTAACAGAGGGGCAACTATGTGGGAATTTCTCTGAAGAAACTGAGCAGGAACTCTTTGAAGAGAAAGTCTGGAACCGAATTCAACCCTCACACCAAGAAGGAAGCCAACAAGAAGAATGGATCGATAAACCCCTTCCTTGTTCCATTGGAGAGTTCCATCAAATCTCACTGCAGAAAAAAAAAAAAAAAAAAAAAAACCAGGAAGGAGAGGAAAGAAATGGATGTCTCAGTGATCCCTGGGAAATATCTGCCGAGATTGAATCCCAGAAAAGTATTTTGGGGAAGAACACCAGAGACAGGGAAATACTTTATAAAGAAGAGAGTTCATATGCATTTCTGGAAAACCAAGAGAAGTTTCTAGTTCCTTTATTCCTCCATCGTATCAGGCTGTCCATGCTGATGGACAACATCAACCCTCCGATTTCAGCAAAAGCTTTCATGGTCCATCCAACCTGCTGACACCGCCGAGAATCCCTAAAGTGGAGAAGTTGTATAAATGCTTGGAATGCGGGAAGTCCTTCAGTCGCAGCGCCCATCTGATGTCCCACCAGATCATCCACACCGGAGAAAAGCCGTATACGTGTTTAGAGTGTGGGAAGAGCTTGATTCAGAGCGCCCACCTCGCCTCCCATCAAATTATCCACACAGGGGAGAAGCCGTACCAGTGCTCGGAATGCGGGAAAAGTTTCAACAAGAGCATCAACTTCGTGAGGCATCAGAAGATCCACAAAGGAGAGAAGCCGCATCAGTGCGCCGATTGCAACAAGACTTTTTCTGACAAACCGAGTCTCATTCAGCACCAAAGGGTTCACATGGGGGAGAGGCCATACAAATGTTACGAGTGTGGGAAGAGTTTCAGTCATAGGGGCAGCCTCAATGCGCATCAGCGGATGCACACGGGGGAGAAGCCGTACGGCTGCAAGGACTGTGGGAAGAGCTTTCGGGATCAGTCCAGCCTTATTAGACATAAGAGAACCCACACCGGGGAGAAACCCTACACCTGCTCCGAGTGTGGGAAAAGCTTCAGCCAGAGCACAAACCTGACTTTGCATCAAAGGGTGCACACCGACGGGAAGCTTCCAGAAGAGTCTCCCCAAATACTTAACACAGGGATGGCCATGTTAGTCTTTCCACCAAATCCTGCAAATGATTTAGTGGCATTTGAAAGCTAACATTTAGTGGTACTTGGCTCAATAGTACTAACTGTGAGAGGGATTGTCCTGGTGGACAATCATTTAAATATGAGCCAGCAGTGTGCTGCAGCCGCCAACCAAGCCAACACAATTCTAGGCTGCCTTAATAGAGGGATAGAATCAATATCATGTGAAGTGTTAATAAGGGTTTACAATGCCTTGGTAAGACCACACTTGGAATACTGCATCCAGTTTTGGTTGCCACGGTACAAAAAGACGTTGAGATTCTAGAAAGAGTGCAGAGAAGAGCAACAAAGATGATTAGGGGACTGGAGGTTAAAACATATGAAGAACAGTTGCAGGAATTGGGTATGTCTAGTTTAATGAAAATAAGGACTAGGGGTGACATGATAGCAGTGTGTCAACAGCCAGCTCGAGAATCCAAATAAAGCTCCAGCTTCATTCTGTTTCCAAAAATCTTACTGTTTATTAAGTTGATTGATTTTGCTGAAACAAAACTAACTCTGAGGTTCTAACACCAATTCATAGACTTAAACAATAATTTTCCCAGCCAAACCCCCAATGTCTTACGTAGTCCGTATAAACAAGTTGTGTTTGTTATGGGAACTGTCTGCTTCAAATCCACACCTGTTCTGGTGTCCTTGAAAAGGTTTCAGGTTCTCACAGTCTTCAGCGGAATTGTACAAATTTCATTTTCCCATCTAATCCACTGGAAAGTAAGACTCCCTCCCCCCTTACTCTAAAGGCAAGTTGAAATGCAGAGGAACATAGCTGTCAAAGTTTCATCCTTGAGACAGTGTTCCATTATTTGAGGGGCTGCCACAAAGAAGAGGGGGTAAACCTATTTTCCAAAGCACCAGAAGGCAGGACAAGAAGCAATGGATAGAAACTAACAAGCAGAGAAGCAACCTAGAACTAAGGAGAAATTTCCTGAAAGTCAGAACAAATTAATCAATGGAATAGCTTGCTTCCAGAAGTTTAATGGGAGTGCTCCATCACTGGAGGTTTTCAAGAAGAGATTGGACAACCATTTGTCAGGAATGTTATAGGGCCCCTTGTTTCTATAGAGGGTTGGACTAGAAGACCTCCAAGATCTCTTCCGTTATTGTCTTCTGTAAATCCATGTGGCCAGCTTGCACTCCTGCAGGCAATGCTTTCACTGACTTTGCTGGGGCCCTGTCACCACTGTTGTGACTGCTCTTCTCTGCCTGCTGATTTGAAGAATGCCGAGATTGGACTCTCCAGTTCTCTCCCACAGGCCATCTTGCAACAGGTGTGGCAACCAGAGAAGACACAAGAGAATGCCAGAGTAGCTTCCAAAGGTGGGGGGGGCAAGGAAACCATGATCCTCCCCAGGGCACAGCTCAGCCCCCTCCCCGAGGGCCACCATCAGCATTCCCAGCTCTTTTTTTCTTCCCTTCCTTCTTCCCCAATCACCTTTCCACTTTATGAATTTCTATTTGCGTATATAGGTATTCCCCGACTTACAGCAGTTTGCTTAGTGACCGTTCAAAGTTACAACAGCACTGAAAAAAGTAACTTACGTCTGATTTACACCCCCTGTCATGGTTCCGACAGATGACACTCTTCAAAAGAACTTTGAGGCATTGTTTACCTTAAAGGATCTTTTATTCGAGTAGCATAATACCGGCACTTACATAATCGAAGCCAAAAACTGAATTCCCCCCCCCCGGCACATAGTATCAAAGCACAATTCCCTCCCTCGTCCAATTAACAGTCATAAATCACATTCCCCAATTAGCTTGAAGTGTGGGGTTCTTCTCCAGCTCTCCAGCCCGCCAATTCTTTATCAGCTCTGGCTCAATAACCTTGATTCTCACGCTACGTTTTAGTGTTGTTATGTCTAGCTGGACTCTGGAATCTGAAACAAAAAAAGCATCATTGGTAAAACGTTCTGTCAGACCCAGCGCACCACCCACCCTCCAGTAGCCCCGTTACCGGCTCGCACAATGGCAACATTGGAGAGGCCCCAACAGCTGATCCGGCGGGTCCGCGTTTCGCGCCGCCATTGCAACCGAGATGGGCAACCGGGATTCCTAGAGCGGCAGCTCTGTGTTTCGCACTGCTATTGCAAAAACCGAGATGGGAAACCGGATTCCTAGAGCGGCAGCTGATGAGCCCATGTGACCAGCTAGGATGGCTAGTAATTGATATACTTAGATGACTAGTAACAACAGCACGGACGAAACGTGGTGAACGGAAGGGAGGCTACTTCGTACTTATGTTTATTGGACTTCCAAGTGTCGCTGGGTCTGTCATTAGTGGACGTTGGAGCAGAGGACTGGACGGTAGAGCAGAGTGTTGCCGGCTTTGTTCATTTCACTTCTATGTGTGGGGCGTGGACTGGGGCAGGAGAGCGCAGCATTGTTAATTAGGTTATTGGTGGGGTGTGGGTTATCAACTGGGGTTGAGCGAGGCGAGGGTGGAGTATAGTCGTGGGTGGTAATTGGGGGGTGTCCTCTGGGCGTGGTAGGTGGCTGTATTTAAGGCACTGGAAGGAGGTTACTTCCAGTGCTAACTTTATGTCAACACAGTGCATTAAACTTGTTGATTGTTCAACGTTCCTGTTTCTTGGCTTTTGTGAAGCACTACCAGGACGTTCTTACACTTTTATCTTAATTACAGAGATTCTACCTGTTGTGTCCTGAGCCTGCTGAAGCATTCAGCAGGCTCAGCAATGTTGCAAACGGTCCCGGGAAGACCAAAAGCTGCCTGGGACCAGACTGGCTGTCACCAGCCTTGCACGCATGCGCAAGGCGCGAAAACAGCCAGCTTCCTATTGGCTGACACTGTCTGGGTTCAGGACTCTACAAATGGCCTGCGTGCCATTTTGCTGCTGCTGGTTGTAAGAAGAGATCAATAAAGAAGCTTGTTTGTTCACCATGTGTCTTTGCTTAATACCTCAACCTTGCAAACATAAAACTACCCGATACTGATTGTTGCAATTTCCCCATCTACAAATGTCCCATTATTAAGGAAGGGCAAAGAACTGCATTTCAGGGCTCTGGATTGGAAGGGACCTTGGAGGTCTTCTAGTCCAACCTCCTGCTCAGGCAGGAAACCCTATATTGGGGTCCCCAGTCCCTGAACTGTGGCCTACTATTGGGCTGTGGCCTATTCGCAACCGAGCCACATGAGCGGCCAGCCATTGTGTGTGTGCAGCTTGCGCAAGGGGGCTTGCATGCATGGGCATATACAGGTCAACTTACAATCAAGCTGTGTGTGCCAGCCCGCTACTTGTACAAGTCAAGCTGCATGCATGTAGCCCTGTTTCCCCCTCCCCCCAAGCTGCCCTATACCATTTCAGACAAATAATTGTCCAATCGGGAGGCAAATTGTTCCACTGGTTAATTGTTCTAATTGTCAAGAAGTTTCTCCTTAGTTCTACGTTGCTTCTCTACTTTGTTAGTTTCCATCCGTTGCTTCTTGTCCTGCCCTCAGGCACTTTGGAGAATAGTTTGACTCCCTCTTATTTGTGGCAGCCCCTGAGATATTGGAACACTGCTATGATGGCTATTTTAGACAATTTTAGTTGAACTGATCTGCCTCTGACCATCAGAAGCAAAAATACCAAATTACAACGCAAATGGCAAACTCCACTCGGCATGAAACCTTGTTGAGGCTGTTGTCATCTCAAAATCCGTGTAAAGTCATTTTTCTGTGTCAGGGAACGTGGTGCCCAGAAGCTCACCCAGATTACAGTGTGCCTCTGAAAGCCATAATTAAGGAATACAGATAAATGAACCTCCTCATTTAATCTGTGGGGTGATCATAAAGTAAACTCAACCGATCTTGGATGATGTAACCCTCAAGAGAAAGACTTTTGAAAGAGATCTGTTTGTTCAGAACTTGTTGGTCCAGTTAAATAGTGAATAAAAAAAATGATCAGTTGACTGATCATACCTGTTGAAATGGTATAAGAGAAGGCATCGAGGTGTACGTGTCACCTATTGTTAAAAGAACTACAGGGCAATATAGAGCTCACGGACCAAGAAGAAAGCAAATTAAGCTTTAAGACAATTTTCTTTGGCCAGATAGGGGAAAAGAAATCCCATCTCTGATCTCAGGACCTTTCCACCATGGAAACGATATTGGGCCAAACCCTGTGGATGTTGGTATTTTACTTTTGCATTTCAATCACGTTGTTATTCCTCGGGTGGATCCTTTACTTTAATATCATCGGCATGCATATCCCGCCAGGAATCAGCCAGGGGAGAAAACTGCGCCTTCTCTATTTGTTTGTAAGAATTCTTTTCGGACTGGTAAGTCTCTGCCTTTGGACTCTAGCTTTGCTTTCAGTTGGTTCGGCTGAATGGCACAGTCCTACACTTGGTGTACCTGAGGATGCACAAGCAAGCTCAGAGAGCACCAAGGACCCCTCCTTTCAACCCTGAGCTCAAAATAGTCTCTTTTGTTAGAACTCGCTCTGGATAGCATCTAAACCAGTGGTTCTCAACGTTTGTGTGACAGCGACCCCCATCACACAAACGTGCCACGCATGCGCAGTGCGCATGCGCGGTGGCACCCCATGCGCTGTGCGGCGGCGCCCCCATGCGCGGTGCGCATGCACGGCGGCGCCCCCTGAGGGGGGGAAATGGCAGATCGCCTTCTTTGGTGACCCCCGTAAAATGGACGATCGACCCCAAATGGGGTCGCGACCCATAGGTTGAGAACCGCTGATCTAAACAGATCCTTTGTGTGTTATTCTTTGGTTTCTTTCTTGTCTTTCCCCTGTGCAGGCCAGGATTCTGGATAAACTTGGCATCTGCCATGAATTTTTCATATGGAGGCTCCTTTGGAATGGAATACATCCCAGGAAACCATCTGACTTGATTGTCAAGGAAATGCTTTTTGACAGAGTGCCGGTGATGGTCTGTTGTCCCAAAAGAGCAAGTCCAGAGAACAGACGAGGACTTGTCTGGATCCATGGAGGAGCAGGCTTGTTTGGAAGCCCCCGTAGGTTTTCCAAATAATTGTTTGATTGATATGAAAGAAGGACGGACAAATGTTTGGCTTAAGGCAGTGATGGCAAACCTATGGCACGTGTGCCAGAGGTGGCACTTAGCGCCCTCTCTGTGGGCACACTTGCCGCCATAGTCAGCTTGCACAGGTCCATTAGGCCCCCGCTGGCACCCAGAGCGGCAACCCCACCCAGCACAAAGGAGGTGAAGCAGCTGGCTAGCAAGCTCAAGGAGAGGTGGTAGAGCACGCCCCCATGCGTCGCTGGCCTGTGTGCGGGGGCTGATGGTATCAGGCAGCAGCCGCCCCTGTCTCGCCTTGCCCTGCAGCAATGGCACCCCTGCCCTACCCCTGCCTCACCCCTCAGGACGAACCTCCTGCCAACGCCACATCCACCAGAGACCCCCTGGATCTCCCCCAATTCTGCCAGCCCCCACAGGCATCCCCCCACAAGCAACATCAAAATGGCCACACCCACCCCAGCCATGCCCACTCAATCTGCCATGACCACAGCAGCCACACCCACCCAGTGGGCTACGCCTACCCCCAATGCGGCCTTGGCACTTTGCGATGAATAAGTCGGTTTTGGATTGTGGTTTGGGCACTCGGTCTCTAAAAGGTTCGCCATCCCTGGCCTAAGGGGTACCCTGATTCTTCTGCAGCACGCCAAGGACCAAAGGGGAAAAATGCATGTGCTCAGATAAAAACATACAAGTTAGGGGTGGGAGAAATGGGACATTCTCATCTGAACATCAATTCAAACAATTCTTTGTGATATTTCAGGATCCCACGAAAGGCTGTGCCACTTCATTGCCCGGCAAAGTGACACTGTGATCGCATGCATCGGGTAAGTGAGCTCAAGCTGACTTGTGTCACAGAAGGCACAAAAGCCAACTGCCATAACCTCTCTCTCTCTCTAGACCAGAGGTTCTCAAAGGGGTCGCCTAAGACCATCGGAAAACACATATTTCCGATGGTCATAGGAACCTAGACACCGCTCCTCTATCCATCTCCGCACAGCTTCGAACTGGGGGCCGTTGCAGTGCCAGATTCGTTTCTGTCGAGCATCTCCTAAGGGAGGCTGCACTGCTTCGCGGCCTTTTCTGTGGAGGAAGCTGAATTAAGCTCTGCCAGTGCTGTCACCCTCTTGGCTCTCTCTCTCTCGCTCTCTCTCTCGCTCTCTCTCCCCGTCTGGGCGCTTTTCCAACCAGGCTGGGCGAAGTCTAGTCCTAGACTTAGAACAGTTCATTTAGTGACTGTCCAAAATTACAATATTTAAGAATACAGCCCCAAACCTCTTATGCAAACAGAATGCATCCTGTCAGTTGTAGGACAAATAACATGAGCAAGCATTTTATTTCCTCCCTGGATACAATTCCTGCAGCTGCAGAAAAAGCAGCAAAAATAGAAAAAAAGGAGAGGGAATGTGCATTTCATTAATGGAGAACAAAGCAACTGGGAGTAACTCAGACTTAAGAGGAAAATACTGAAATAGGCTCAAAATAAATAAAAATAAAAATAGTTGAGACTGAGCGAAGCAAACTGCCAGAAAGTGGATTTTACTACAGAAGCCAGACAGAGAAGTGATTCAGCAATGACTTCTGGACTAGCTAGTAAAAATCACCTAAATGCATGGTACAATTTATACTCTTTTTCCTATTTTAAGTTTTGATGAGATTTATAAGAAGTTTGTTCTTCTTAATTTCCTAGCTTGGTTTTTTTCCCTTTCAGCAGGATTGATTAATCCTATGACCCAGGGAAGGAAATAACTTGTTGATGAGGTTTTTGTGTATCTAGGTTAATCTTGTTGTAGGCGCTGGTGTGTCTGGGGTTAATCCTGTTATTGGTTTCTATGTGTATATAGGGCAGTGGTGGCGAACCTATGGCACGGGTGCCAGAGGCGGCACACAGAGCCCTCTCTGTGGGCATGCGTTCTATCGCCCGAGTCCTAGGCCTTCAGCTGGGTTTTATAAAACCTTTTCGCTTTAGGCCTCTGCTGCCATGTGCAAAAAAAAAAAAGGTTCAGTCAATTTCAGCTTCTTGCAGGAAAAAAAAAGATCTTGCAAAGTTGGAATTGCTTGATTGAACTTTTTAGTCCCACCCAGTCTTCCGTTACCACCGCAGCCACACCCAGCCAATGGGCCACACCCACCCGGCACTCAACGATGGATAAGTGGGTTTTGGGTTGCAGTTTGGGCACTCGGTCTCTAAAAGGTTCGCCATCACTGAGATAGGGCAAACCTGTCAGCTTTCTTTTGGTTTGTTCAAGGCTAGTGCTTATCACAGGTGGGGGAGGAAGAGAGAGGAGAGGAGAGGGGAGAGAGAAAGAGAGAGAGAGAGAGAGAGAGAGAGAGAGAGAGAGAGAGAGAGAGAGAGAGAGAGAGAGAGAGAGAGAGAGAGAGAGAGAGAGAGAGAGAGAGACTCTTCTCTGGTACTTTTGTTTTTTGGCTTGACTTTTCTAAGAGAGGGAAATGGATGTTTCTTTTGGAGCAGCCTTTCGTATTTGTAATAGTTGGTTTCTGGGCCTAGGCTTTCTACCTCTTTTCCTATTGTTCCTGCCTGTTTAATATTTCCCAAAGGTATTTCTTTTTCATGGGTATCTAGATGCTAACTTCTAATTATTGATTGAATCAATGATCCATCACAGCCATGGAGCAAGTTTCAGATTAACTCTGGAGTTCAGAGATCTCAAACCAGGAGTGGGGAACCTTGGCTCTTTGATGACTCGTGGACTTCAACTCCCAGAATTCCTGAGCCAGCCTGGCTCAGCTTGGAAACCTCTCCCTTTCCCCTCAGCATGGCTGCCTCAGGAATTCTGGGAGTTGAAGTCCACCAGTCATAAAAGAGCCCAGGTTGCCCTCCCCTGTCTTAAACGGTTGCTCCGCGGGGATTGCATCCCACGAGGGAAGCCGAGCGAGGGATTTCCTTTGGAAACAGGCCTTTGTAAGTCTAATCAGACAGGCTAAAGCTGACAGCTGCTCTTTGCTAAACTCTGCCCTGAGTCCTTCGGGATTGGGCGGCATATAAATATTAAAAATAAATAAATAAATAAATAAACTCCCCCCCCAAAAAAAAGAGAAACCAGTGAAGGAGCCAAACTTTTTCCTTCAACCTTCTCCAGAGGAAAGAGGAACGCGACATCCGCCAGGCGTTTTTTCTCCAAAACTGCTGCGGAGTTTTGAAAAACTGCCAGGGCTGCTGCAACCCTACCCAGAACAAAGCGTCCCGTGCAGCCCAGCCTCATCCTGCACAGACACCGCGACACCCGGCCACTTACTTATCCAAGATGAAGTACAGATCGAAGCCCCGTAGCAGGCGGCGCCCCTCTCCTCTTGCTGCCTCCCTCGCCCATCCCAGGGGACCATCAGGGTGTTCAGAAAGGAGGGGAAAAGGCTGTCTGGAGGTGGGTTTTGGTTTTTTTTTTCACATTTCCCTTCTGCTCTGCTTTCTCTCTGGTCCGTTTTCAGGGCACCTCTGCCTTGCGCTTCCAGCGCAGTGCAGCCACTGTCAGCCAGGTGATTGACAATTTCTGGTTCCTGTTGCTTTGCTTTGCCCCAGATTTGAGGAACATGGAAGCCTCCTCCCTCCTCCTGGCCCCCTCCCCGCAAAGGAAAGAGCTGAAATCCAGGGCTGATCTTGGCGCTTCTGCTGAGCCCTGACAGCCCTGCAGCTCCAGCCGTCTCTCGTTCAGGCTTGTGCGGTGCTGCCGCCAGTTCAGCTCATTCCCCTCCCCCCACTACCACTTCTAGGATGGTCCCGTACCACCTGCCACAGGTGGTACGCGTTTCACCAGCTGAAAAGCCCTGTGCTGAAATACTGACAGCAATAAGGAACCAACAAGGATGCCGCGGGTTACTTCAGAGTAGTTTACAGAATTACAGCTAGTCTTTGACTTACAATCACAACTGAGCCCAAACTTTCTGTTGTTTTGTGAGACAGTTGTTAAGTGCCCCATTTTATGTCTTAACATAAAATGCCACAGTTGTTAACTGAATCCCACTGACTTTGCTTGTCAGAAGGTCACAAAATGGGATCACATGAGCCTGAGACACTGCAGCTGTCATAACTATCAGTTGCCAGGCGCCCTAATTTTGATCATGTGACCACAGGGATGCTGCAACGGTCATGTGAAAAACGGTCCTAAGTCACTTTTTTCAGTGATGTTGTAATTTTCAACAGTTATTAAATGAACTGTTGTAAGTCGAGGACTGCTTCTATTGGTTGTTGCATGCTGCCCAGTCTTTTTGGGGTGGGGCAGCTATAATATATTCATCTTCATAATAGGAATGCCAGTGCATTTGAAAGATTGTATTTTGACTGAATGTTGCTTCAGATACCCCTTGGCGCCAGAGCACCCCTATCCAGCTCAACAACTCAGCTGCTACACTGCCGTATCACATTTTCTGAAGAATGCGCAGGACTACGGGGTGGACCCGAAACGGATCGTGCTGGCTGGCGACAGCAGCGGAGGCACACTTGTTGCCAGCACTGCTCAGCAACTTCTGATGACAAAGGACCTGCCACAGCCCCGGGCCCACATACTAATCTATCCTTTCCTACAAGGCCTGGATTTAAATTTACCTTCTTACCAGCAAAACCAGTTTATTCCCCTCTTAGTCAAGAAAGAGGCTGTTCGTCTTGCCACAGTTTATCTGTCGGGAACTGATGCCGGGGTCAATGAAATTATGGCCAATGCTCATGTCCCGCAGGAACTCATGGCAAAGTATCAGAAATGGATCAGTGCGGAACATATTCCGGAGGAATTTAAAGGCCGGGGTTACGTGCCGTTTGTACCTGGTCCGTTTTCAGAAGATCTTTTCCAAAAATACAAAACAGTTTTCGACCCCATATTTTCCCCACTCCTGGCGGAAGATGCCGTCATCCAGCAGTTTCCAGAGACTTTCCTCTTAACCTGCGAATATGACATTTTCCGAGATGATGGCTTGCTCTATAAGAAGAGGCTGGAAGACAATGGTGTCCCTGTCACCTGGCTTCACCTCAAGGACGGATTCCATGGGATCACCTCGCTGATAGATATGGGGTCAATCCAGTTTCCAAGTACGAGGAAGAGTATGAATAGTGTAATCCAATTCCTAGAACGATTCTAGAAATCAAACAGCCTCGTTCCTCTTCCTTGTTCATCTAGCCCTTGCCTTACAGATCTGGATCTGAAGAGGTTATACCCTATAATTTCATTCATCTGTCCTGCTTAACTGACCTGAAGATGGTCCACCAACCCTTTGAAGAGACACATCCTTGCCCTCTCCAGCTCGTTCATAGCCCACCACTCAGGTAGCCTGGTGTCAGGCTGTGCAGGAAACGGTGGTTTTCCCTCTTACCCAAAAAAGAGAATTTCCCATATGACAGTCTAAGTGGCACCGAGGAACCATTGGGAGAGTGGCCAGACGTCTAACTTTTGCGCTCTCCTCCTCCCTATAGTCAGGACAGTGGTCTTTGGAATATCAAACTTGTGGAGAATGTTGAACATGACAGCACAAGGAAACAACAGCCCATCACCAGCCATCAACACCCCAATGAACCAATAGGAAGGCATCACATAATTGCGACTCACAGAATGGCCCAAAGTGCATATAGGTAGTCCTCGACTAACGATAACAATTGAGCCCAAAATTTCTGTTGCTAAGTGAATTTGCCTCATTTTACGGTCTTTCTTGTCAGAGTTGTTAAGTGAATCACTATAGTTGTTAAGTTAGTAACACGGTTGTTAAGTGAATCTGACTTCCCCATTGACAGAAGGCAGCAAAAAGTAATTACATGACCCCAGGACACTGCAACCATCATAAATATGAGTCAGTCGCCAAGTGTCGGAATTTTGATCATATGACTCTGGGGATACTGCAGCGGTCTTAAGTGTGAAAAACGGTTATAATCACTTTTTTCAGTGCCGCTGTAACTTTGAACAGTCACTAAACGAAGTGTTGCAAGTCAAGGACTACCTGTATTCCAGTAAAGAGAGGTTTCCTGAGGATGGGCTCCGGCACGGGTCTGAATGCTCAGAACAGTAAACCTCTGGTCCTGGTGACCGACCCAGATTGGATCTTGCAACGTTATCCTGGGAGATGTATATGTGCCTTCATTTGTCATGGAAAACCCAGTGCAGCTCTTTCAGGAACCATTATTCCCACAGGCAGACCAAAAAATGAACGAAAAAAGGGAATCAGCCCCCAAAAGCTCTGGAGGCCTATTGTGCTAGCCCCCCTCACCCGTTGGCATAGGTTCTGTTTCCTAACAGGACCTTGCCTTGAACCGTGCCTTCCTTTCCTCTGTCTCTGAAGAGGCATTTCTCTCCAACAAGACTAATGCAGTAAGATCTTAAGGGACCTCTCCTTGTTGACGCTTCCATCTCAACTCTTCCTGTATCCGCTTTCCTTGCTCCACCTTTGCTTTAGCTGCAGGTGGTCCCCGGTTGCTGAGCTTCTAGAATAGTGACAACTGACTTCATGTAAACCTTTTGAGCTTCAGTAAAGACTCAAGAAACAAATCCCAGTCTGTTTCATTTCTATTTCATTTCAGATTCATTTTTGCCCACTGCAAAGGGCAAGGAGAGAAAAGGGGAAGATGGCGCAGAGGTGTTGTAAAGGCATGGCTATGTTGACAGAATGGGGCGTGTGGGTCCGTGTCTGTGTGTGTGTTGGAAGGGCACGAACTAGCAAGTCCCTTCGGTGGGCCGAAGACTGCCAGCCCCTCATGAAACAGTGTGTGTGTGTGTGTGTGTGTGTGTGTGTGTGTGTCCCTCTCCTCAGCTCTTCTGCGATCAGGGACTGCAGGGAAAAATGTTAGGGAATTGGACAGCTGGTGTCCAAATGGAGGCAGAGATGCTGACACAAAACATATAGTTTTATATTAATAAACATATTAATAGTAAATAAGATAATCAGGCAAACAGCAGCATATCAGGTAAATCAACGTATTATGAGGTAAATTATAGAGGGCACTCAGAGGAAAAAAGGCGGGAAACAAAGAACCTCCCCCTTTTCACTCAAGGTAACCAATCAAAGCTTAGATTGCCTCATACAGTAGCCAGCCCTCTTCAACCAATCAGCTATAACTGTGTGTTCTGATTCATTGTCCAACCCTTCACTGCTCCTGCTATTAAATTAAATATCTTAAAAAAGAAGAGGAAAATGTGGAGAGGAAAGATGAACCAAGCCCCAGATTCGTCCTCAACCTGAATTAGGCAAAACAGCAACTGCCTCATCGGACAAGCCAGAATGGGTCTGTGAAAACCCAGGTAGTCCTCGACTTACAAATGCAATTGAGCCCAAAATTTCTGTTGCTCAGTTAGACAGTTGTTAAGTGAATTTTGCCCCATTTTACAACCTCTCTTGCTGTGTTTGTTAAATGAATCACTGCAGTTGTTAAGTTAGTAACACCGTTGTGAATCTAGTTTCCTCATTGACTTTGCTTGTCAGAAGTTCACAAGAGGTAATCACATGATTCCGGCACACTGCAACTGTCATAAATATGAACCATCCAAAGAAATATCTTGTCTAGTTTAATGAAGAGAAGGACTAGGTGTCACATGATAGCAGTGTTCCAATATTTCAGGGGTTTCCAGAGAGAAGAGGAAGTCAGTCTATTCTCCAAAGCACCAGAAGGCTGGACAAGAAACCATGGATGGAAACTAATCAAGGAGAGAAGCAACCTGGAACTAAGGAGAAACTTCCTGACAGTTAGAACAATTAATCAGTGGAACAACCTGCCTCCAGAAGCTGTGAATGCTCCAACACTGGAAGTTTTTAAGAAGAGACTGGACAGCCATTTATCTGAAATGGTATAAGGCAAAGGTCCCCAATCTTTTGGGCACCAGGGACTGGTTCCATGGAGAGAGGTTTTTCCATGGACTGGAGGGTGTGTGGTTTTGTGTGCTGCCTGCATCCCATGGATGGGCCGTTGCTTGTTTGTGTGGCCCAGTTGCTGGCATGCTGCAGCCTGGTACCGGTCCACAGACCGGGGGTTGGGGACCCCATATATAGGTTTGCTGCCTGAGCAGAGAGTTGGACTAGAAGACCTCCAAGGTCCCTTCCAACATTATCATTATCATCAGCAGCATCCAAATTTTGATCACATGACTGCGGGGATGACGTTATAACTTCAAACAGTCACTGAATGAACTGTTGTAGCTTGAGGACTACCTGCACTTGACTTTGCAGAAGAGTTTCCTTTAAGCCAAGCAGCCTTTCTCTCCTGGAATTCCCTAAAGTTGTTTTTAAGAGGGACAACAGGATGGCACCAGGAGGAGGAGACTTTGCCCCATGATGGGGGGAAAGGGCCACTCCCAAAGGTTTCATGTAGAGCAAGGGTGTCAAACTCAATTTCATTGAGGGCCTCATCAGCATTATGGTTGCCCTCAAAGGGCCAGTTGCTGACTCCTTCTCTCCCTCAGGCTTCCTCCACAGAAGCCTCACTTATGCCATCCCCTTCTCTCCTTCAGGCTTGTCCCACCGACATCTCTCCTCCCTATTGCCTTCTCTGCTCTCTCACTCCTCCTTTCTACCCAAACCCCTCCTTTTTATATTCTCCTCTCCCCCATGCGTTCACTCACTGCCTGGCTGGCTTTTTCACACAGCACTCATTGACTGGAGCTGCATGTGCTGATTCTGGGGTTCCTGCCAAGCCACGGCAGCCTCACAGCTCCAGCTGACTCTTCCCCTGAAGACTGCGTGCAGCTGCCAGCCACCCCGAGGCTGTTGGAAGCCCCAATCAGCTGGAGCCACACGGGCCGATCCCAGGGCTTCAGCAGAGCCCCAGCAACACTGCAGCTCCAGCTGATTCTCCCCGGGCCTCTCTGGTGCTGCTGCAGCTTCAGCTCACCCCCCTCCCACTACATACTCTATTCAGACTGTGAGTTAAAAACGCCTTCTTTAAATCAAGTCAGATAGATAACTCAGTAGAAATGGTTTCATAACAAAAAGAAATATATTTTGATCAGAAAGATTACAAAGATTACTTGCATTCATGCTGTGTTGTTACTTCTGGAAATTACATCTTTTGTTGATTCCTACAGGTAAAAGGATGATGCTCTCTTCCATACCATCTTTATAACTGCGCAGGCTCATTGGGTGACATCTGATAGCCCATGCTTCTTTCAGACAAAGACATTCCAATCTGACTTGTGTCCAGGAAGTCTCCCAATGCCCTTTAGAAACTCCTTCCACTGACATACTGATACATGCTCTCTAGTTAGGGTTACATAGAGCTATACGAGGTTACATAGAGCTATATGGTTCAGAATACTCCCGGCTTGGAAATTTATATTTCCACTACTAACTAGCTGAAATAGCAAAAAACATAGCATTAAGGCAGTGGTAGTCAACCTGGTCTCTACTTCCCACTAGTGGGCATTCCAGCTTTCCTGGTGGGCGGTAGGGGTTCAATCGAGCCGTTTAAATTTTCGGAACCATCGAGCCCTCCGATCGGCTCACAGAGCTTTCCAGAAGGCGTGGGGTGTTAGCCTCAGCTGTGGAATCCCGCACGGAGCTCTCGGAGGCCAGAGAGCCTCGCCGAGGCGCGCCGTTGTTGCGAGGCTCCAGTCGACTTCCTCGACGATCCGTATCACAACAGAGGCTGCGCAACAAGATAAAACCGCAAGTGCCTCATTTTTGGCTCCGGGGGGTGGAAATTAAAGGCACAACAAACAACAAGCTTCCCCTCAGGGCCCCTCAAGGCTGGGAAGGCCTGGCCAAAATACAAGCGGCTGCTAATTTTGGCGCGGCTGCCATTTTGAGAGCCACACAGAGCCCTCAGTCATAGAGGTTTCAGGCATCTCTGACAAGAACCAGGCTCTCTCTTCATCCTACTGTGACAGGCACTGATCGGGGCAAACCAAACTCCACTGAGCATTCCCTCAAGACCAAGGTAGAGGCCATGTCTCAAAAAAAGAAATACGCTTGTGGCTATTTGCCAGTGTATCTGAAGATGGGTTTCATAGAATCTGTTGTAAATAAACAACACCCAATGTATTTATGTGTCATAAAACATTATCCAATGAGGCAATGAAGCCAAGTCGATTGCGAGAACATCTTTCTACAAAGCATCCAAATGATAAGGACAAGCCCATTGAATATTTTCAGGAAATATATAAAAATTTCAAAATCGTTCAACAATCGTTGCATCATTTAAGAAACACTCTGCAGCGAACGAAGATGGATTAATTTGCGCTTATTGCATTTCACAATTAATTGCAAAAAGTGGTAAAAGCTATAATATTGGAGAAACAGTAATAATACCCTCTACAAAAGAATTTATTTCAACAGTAATGCATCAGGATATACCTGAAAATTTAAAAACGTTGCCCCTAAGCGATAGCACAGTAAAGCGACGAATTGATGAAATGGCAGTTAATGTTGAAAAAAACCTGATAAGTATTCTCCAAAATATTTCATTTTCTATGCAATTGGACGAGTCTACCACTGCAGATAATAATGCTTAATTGATGACATATGTATGTTATTTTGATGAAAACAATACATAACAAGAAGAAATGCTATTCGCAATAAATCTCATTACAGATACAAGAGGATTATCTATATTTAATACTGTGAAATCATACTTTACAAAAAATAATATTCCTTTGAATAATATTGTTGCACGTGCTACTGATGGAGCACCATCAATGGTAGGTTGTTATCGTGGATTTG